AGAGTGTTCAGCTTAGGATGCTCACTTACTGGCAATTGTGCGATGACCTTTAGCAATGCTCTCTTGTCAAAATAGTGTTTTGGGTTATATGGAGAGACTTTTCCACAACCATATGTAACCATATAAGCAAGTCTGTAAGACAGTCTTACCCTGGAGACCCAACGATGTCTGCTCCAATGACAGAGCAGGATTCTTACATAGGTACTTAACCTCCCTGTGCTTCAGTTTATTCATCTGTAGATGAGCCTAATGTAGTAGAGATCAGTCTAATGAAATTCCAAACTCATAGAGTCCTTATGAGGATTAAATGAGTTAATATATGAAAACTCTACATACATGTCTACAATAAATGTCAGCTGCAATTATTATTTGAATTCAGACAAAGTTATTTTAAAATTTAGTTCACAGTAATTATAGCTTTTAAACTCAGACAACTGAGTCAATTATCCTCTCAGAGCCTCAGTTTATTCATCTATAAAATGGTGTTAATGATACTAGCCTCCTAAGATTGTATTAAAGGTAAAGTGAAATGACCAGAAGGTCTGAGGACACTGAGCTGATTGTCCAGGTTTGTACCCCTAGAATCTGGCACATTGGCTGGTGTGTAAAATATGTTCTAAAACAATATTTGTTGAGTCAAATTCAAGGCGGAGCTAAAAGTTCAAGATCATTGCTTATCTCTAAGAGAAAGCTGAGTGTAGAGAAAAGAACATGGGCTTGATTGGAATCAGATAGATTTGGGTGCATTTAGTGGCTCTGAAAATTCCTGACCACAAAACATCAGAAAAGGTATTTAAACTCACAGAGTCCCAGTCAATGTCTCCTTCTGCCTATTGGTATTTAGGGCCAGAGATGCCTGCCATTATCTTTGTGATGTTCCTCCTGGGCTTCAAGGTGATGCTGCTGATAAGTTTCACAGTCACTTACATTCATAGGTGGTGGAACATTTAACGGGTAAGTTGAGAGTAGGCCTTACTCCTTAGAAAGGGAGATCAGGGCCATTGTCATAGGTCTCTACCCTCATGACACTTCCCTGGACACATATATACAGCCAGGAGAACTCACTCGTGACTGGAATGAGGTATCTGAGCTTCTCTATTATTTTATTGGTCTTTTCCACCCTCTTGAGCCCATGACACTTGCTTGGTGGACTGTTCTCCATGGGCAGCACCCCAGTTACCAGGCCTTCATCCACAATGTCACGTGGTGCCACAAGGGTACTCCAGCCTCAAGAGAAGGTTATGAATACTTATTTCCTCCAATGTCTCTTGGAATTCTAAGAGCTTGCAACACTCACACATTGTGTAGTGCCTTGGAATTTGAAGGTTTTCAAATTAAGTTCTCTGAGACCCTGGACCAAGGGATTGGGTGGGGGGAGAGGGGGTTCAAGGTGTGGAGGTGGGGTGAAGGTCAAAGCTGTGAGACTCAAACTCCAAAGACTACTATACAATTCAGTTTTTATATGATATATCTTTGTAATGAATAAGAAAGTATTGGCAAAATCAACTGTTAGAACCTATGTGAGGGATGTGGAGATGCTATCTAGTGACAAAGATGAATGTATTAAGGAAGAGAGTTCAGATCTCAGAAAGAGGTGTTGATGTATAGTAAGTAAGGGCTTCATTTCTTATCAGTACCATGAGCTCAGGCCAAGCAGAATGCCTGCCACATAGTAGGTGTTCAATAAGTATTCATGGATTTAATACATAAATGAATAAATGAATGCATGATTTCTCCCATAGCTCCTGCATGCCCTGTGATAAACTGCCTCCTGTCCTCTCCAAGGGGCTCAAGTGGGGAGAAGAAGCTGCAAGGACCTGCAGGTTACCCAAGACCACTGTCCTTCACTCTGTCAGCCCCACCTCCACCACGGACATGCTCCCTCCACACACTTGCCTTCTTTCTGATAATAAAGCTGAGTCAAGGATAAACTTTGGTCATGGGGACTTGGGATTCTGGACCCTACTCATGAGCTTCAGGCTGGCCCTGCTCACTCAAAAGAGAACCAAGCAGATCAAGACAACAGGTTTTCATCTCTCTTGATCATGAACAACCCTAAATATTCAGAGCAGATTTTACTTTTTCCAGAGCTTTTGCAAGTAAGATTTTATTATAACACAAATATATTTTGAAATTACTAAGTTAAAAAAGGATTTTTCTATTCTGAAATATATAAAGAATAAATAAAACTATTCGTGGACCTACCATCCTACCTTTGCAAAATATTAACATTGATACTTTTATAATATATGCATAAATCTTTAAGCAATATTTAATATTACCTTGCATGTTTTAATTTTTATATGAATGCTATTATACTGTGTACAGCACTTTGGAACTTGTTTTTTTTATGCTTAACACAGTTTGTGTGACTTAATCATGTGATGTATATAGTTCCATTTTTATTAATTTTTCACTGATGTATAGTTTTCTATTGTAAGACTATCCTACAATTTACTGAATCTTCTCACGATAGATATTGAAGCTTTATCTAATATTTTGCTAGCACAGCTTTAGAACAAACAGTATATCCTTGCTTCCTTGGCACGTATGGGAGAGGCCCTCCTGTTCCTCTAATGTGGTCCACAAAGTAACAGTCCTGATATCATTTGGGAGATTTTCTTATACAAACAGAAGTGTTCAATTTTTTAAAAAGTTTTGTTCTTTTCATTTGTGCCTTTGATCTAGCTATATTTTCCTGATGTGTGTGTGTGTGTGTGTGTGTGTGTGTGTGTGTGTGTTTATTATTATAAGTGGTGGGAAATTTTCTTTTTTCCTCCACAGAGACAAATCATCCAGGATTTAATGGTCTGCACTGCCACTTTTACCATAGATCAAGTTACCATAAAAATGTGGTTCTCTTCATGAGCTCTTTGTTCCAATGAGCTATTTGTCTCTTTGTCAGAATTGCCCTGTCTTAATTAGGATAGCTTTATAATAATTCTGATACTTCTTTTGGGTGAATCTTCCCACCATTTTTTGTTGTTCAAAATTGTCATGCTCTTCTTGGCCCAAACTCATTTTAGAATGATTTCGTTAAGTTCCAAGAAAAACTCTTTTAGAATTTTATTTGATTGCACCAAACTTATATATTTATTCAGGCAAATTGATATATTTTCAATATTGAGTTTTCTTATTCATATATAAATATAACTCTATTTATTTAGGTTTTCCTTTATGACTTTCCATTTATAATTTTACATGTTTTTTCCCCATAATGTTCTTATATATCCCTAGTTAGAAATATCTTTAACACTTTTTAGTTTATGGAAACTTTTAAAATTATAATTAGTGTTTTCAGTGTTTTTTTTACTACTGCTTAGGATGGTAATTCATTTTGATCATCAATCTTATATCCAGTAAGCTTATAAAACTCTTACTAGCGCTAATACTATGGACATTCTTTCTATTTGCAATGTTTAAAACATTAATTATCTAACATTATTTTTTATCTTTATCAAAGTTACTCATACATATCATTAAAGAGTCAAATAGTTCTACAAGTTCTACATATGACAACATGTCTCCCTAATCGCACACCATTTTCCACCTCTCATAGGCAACGATTTTCAACTCTTTTAACTGATTATTTTAGATTTTAATGCCGTACTACATAGAGCATGCTTATGTTACCACTTCTTGATTTCTCACTCTTAGGCATTATTATTGACTCCCCACTAAGGAAAATGGGTATGCAGATTCTGTTCCTCCTCACCTCATGCCACACTTCGCTAATCCCCATCATCCTTATATTATTATATCGGAATTTTGGATAACTGAATAGGCAGTGCCTATGTCATAATGACCATGAGACTGCTATTTACAGCTGAATCTTGTAACATTCCCAGCTTTGCTCATGTTCATCTCTCAGGTGTGTGCCTATGTAACCACCACCGTGACCAGGACACAGACCAACCCTATGATCACAGAGGTCTCCTTGTGCTAGCCCTTTATAGTGACCCCATCCCTACCATACCCAACCTCTGCCAATGCCAGTCTACTCTCTATTCTATAGTTTCCAGAATGTGATATGAGTGGAATCATACAACATGTTGTGTTTTGAGAATGACATTGTTCACTTTATATAACGTGACCAAGAAACTTACAAGTTGTTGCACATGTAAATAATTCATTCTTTTTTATCGCTGAGTAGCATTGCCTTGCATGGAGGCACCACGGTTTATCGAACTGTTCACTTTATTGGATCTTTTTGGTTGTTTCCAGTTTTTTGCTATTACAAAGAAAACTGCAATAAACATTCATACACAGATTTTTCTGGACACAAGTTTTCTTTTTTCTTTTTTTTGAAATAAATGTCTGGGAGTGTAATTTAATGGGTCTTATAACACACTTTCTCTCCTGAAAGAAGAGCAGATATGATTATTTTTGTTGGAGAAACATACAAATTCTAGGTCCACACTGCACTGTGCATTTCACTGTGGTATACCAGTTCCATCAGTAAAGGGTTGGAACAGCGAATCATTTCAGGAGCAGACCTGATTCCATCCCAACACTGAGAAGA